GTACTAAATTCTAGATTTTGATGATTATCTAAAATTTTCATTGTATATGCAAAACAATGTAATACTTCATGAAGGCAAGCAGTATCTTTTTGCAATTTATTAAGGAATCTACATAGTGAATATAATAAATTTTGTAATTCAGATAATGTAATCCAAAATTCTTGATCATTAATTATATCTGCAATATCATCAGGGAGTTTTCTATTATTATTTTGATCAACTGTTTTTCTATCTGCTGGTATATTAGAAATACCATTATTTCTTGTTACATTTGAACGATTATCATTAAATTTTGCTGAAAGAAACTATTTAATAATAAAAAAAAATATTAATTTAATTATTAAAATATAAATTTACATACAAATATAAATACTTAACCTTAAGCGCTGATTTAGATTTCAAAATAGAATGGAAACAAAAATAATATGAATTCCATCTAGTATCTCCAAGTGTAATCAATGCAATAGTTTTATTATATATTCATGTCTGTTCATTCCTAAGATTTCCAGTAAAAAAAATTGAACTGTGAAAAAAACTAACAATTCGTATTGATTCTTTGGAAATTCTTTGATATAAAATATTTTCTTTAAATATTTCTTCAAAGATCAAATTCATTTGATGTACTATACAAGGTAAAAAATTTTAGAAAGATATTTTCTACGTAATTGACGTCTAAAAAAAATAAATTAATTAATAAATAAAATCTATAAAATTTTATTAAATAATAAATAAAAAATATACCGAGCAGCAAAGTATTCTCCTGCGGAATCAGAAATGAGTACTTTAATATTGATATGTTCTTTATTAGCTTCATACATTAATTTTTCAATATGTGCAATGACATTTTTAGTCTTGGATCTTTCAGCACTTATATTCACTGGTCGAAAATTGATAAAATATATACATATCAGGTACCCGATATGTGTATGTTTTATCAATTTTCGACTAGTGATTATATACGTCCCAAATTAATGGTTGTCCTGATGTAGTAATAAATACAACTCCCCATATATGTTCTTGTTTTATATTTGACCAACCATCAAATGTTACTGTAACACCATCTTGATCTTGTTTTACAAGTTTAATGATATTTTCTTGAAATATTTGTGAACTCTTTTGTAAAATTTTTCCCGTTATAGCTTTACATTTTGGTAATTGAATTCCAGGTGAAATAAATTCAAAGATAGCAACTGTTTCCTTATTTTCTACAAATGTAAATGGTAAATTATTTGATATAATCATACAAAGTAACAATTGTTCAAAGAGTGAATAATTATTTTTTGATATTGGGTGGTATACAAAATTGTTAATACTGGTTTGTGCAGAAAGTTTTTGTCATTTAATTTTATTAATTTCAACATTATCTATTAAGAAAACATAATTATAATATCATTGAAAATAATAAAATTATTAAATTAAAATTATCTTATACATAACGTACCATCATCATTTTTATTTAATTCTTTACGTTTTTTTTTATCATCTGGTATTAATAATTTCAAAATTGTTTGCACTTCTTCAGATGTATTATATTTGTGAAAATTATCACACTTTATTAAATGGTTACAGCATAAACACGTACGATTTGAAGTATAACATTCAGGTTTAACTTGAGTTGTTTCTAAACCACCATATTTTCTTATACAAAAATTACAAACTGCAAGTACATTTGTAGAATTATTGGAATTTTTTATTAATGTAAAATATACATGAAAATTATGTGAAGTCATTTTAATCAAAAACACAAAAACGTGAAATCTAGTTGATCCTTATATATAAAAGTCATATGAGTTATGATCACTGACATATAACCAATGGTCATATCGGTCATATGAGTAGAAGTTATATAATTATGACCAAATGACATATGACCACTAATCATAAACATATGACCAAAGTCATTTTAAAAATTTTTGTATAACTTAGGTTATAGTTCATCATTGCTAGAGATAATTCCTGAATTCAATTGGCTAAATTAAATTTAATTAAATTCCTGGCTCAATTTGTATTGTGTCTCCCATTTCTAATGTATAGAATACAAATTATACTTGCACTGGTCGAAATAAAAAATATCGGACACCTATCGTATACCTATCGGGAGTCTGATAGGTGTACAATAGGTGTCCGATATCAACAATTATGTAATATATTGGGCACCCGATTGGTGGGGTCGAAATGCAGAAGTTCGGGCATTTATCAGACCCATATAGATTTCATATCGGGCATTAATATTTTGATATTTTATTCAAATTTATCATTCATATATCGGGTACCCGATTTTATTTATTTTTTTTATCGGGTACATATCTTTTATAAATCGGCCATAGTAT